CTCGGAGCCTGGAGCCTGCTTCGGATTCTGTGTCCCCCTCTCCCCTCTGCTCCTCCCCTGCTCTCACCGCCCCCCTCTCTCTGTCTCTCAAAAATAAAGAAACATTTTAAAAAATTAAAAGGAAAAACAGAATGTGTTTGTGAGCAGGTTACTGCTGGAGGAAACTGAGGCTCAGTCCCGCTGGGGACCTCTGAGAGACAATACAGAACACGCTGTGGGGTTGTCCACTGGGGGACAAAAGCTGGAGTCTGTATCATCCAAATCCGGTCTGTCACTGCCCGTGACTCCAGGGCTACCGTGGGAGGCTCCAGCTCCCCAGGACTGCTGGTCTACCCCGGGAGCTAAGGCCAAGGGCACCTCTCAGGTGCACTTGCAAACATTGGCACCAGGAATCCATCAAGGTGCATAGGAAGGATGCGTGCTCGGAGCATAGGGGTGAACTCCCCGCGGTATCTACTGCATCCATAAATTCACATTTCCTGGTTTCATCGCCGAGTGCGCTTTCTCCCCGCGGGAGACCAAGTTCTAAAGATGACAACCTTGGGTTTTGCAGTAAATTAAGAACAGGGCTCATGTAATATTTATAATATAAGTATTTACATAAATGCGGCGGGCTTAGAGGCGAGCTTCTGGGCCAAAGCGTCATAAAACATGTCACTGCGTCGAAAATACATATGTGTGAACGTGGCAGAAGGTACCACGGGGAACGTGAGGTGAAGGAACATCGAGGTCAAATGGGACTTCCGTAGCTAGCCCCAAGTTTAAGAGCCGGGGTCGGGACTCACAGAGTTCAAGTCCCACCTCTGACTATGACCTCCAGCGACTTGCTTAACCTTTGAGCTTTAGTTTTTGTCTTTATTCCCCCTTGTCCAATGGATGCTCGTCTTGATTTTTTTTTTTTAACCTGTCCAATGATATAAATACTGCGCACAGCTGTCGTGAGAAATAAATGAGGGAGGGCACAGAGGCAGTAGCTAGCAACTGTATTATTTGCTTGGAGTCCTTTCTTCTCCACCCTTGCTGTGGCTTTCTGCCTCGGGGATATACGTGCCCGTTCCATTGACTGTCGGCTTGGCCACGTGGCTTACTTTGGCCAATGGATGGGAGTAGATGTAACACGTATTCCATCGGAGACTTTAAATGTGCTTATATATCGTTCCGGAACCATGAGAAGAGCAATCCCTGGGTGGTTGATGAGGCTTTAACCGGGGTCCCAGAGTTCTAGACACTATAGAGCAGCATCGAATCGACCCACAGCCAGAAGCAGAGGCATATGAGCGAATCACAGGCCAACGACTGAGAAAGGATGTTATTTGTGTATGCTGGGGAGATTTGGGTGGGGGGGCTGTTTATTCTGCAGCATTATCCCAATATTAGCTGACTGTTACACAACATGTACCATTTGGCATAAGACCTAACACGTTGTATTGCTATTACTGTCATTGTTCTTATTGTTACTATTAGAAAGAGGGGTTGTTAGGCAAATGCATCCGGGCACACTGTATGTGATACCCCCCCCCCCCCCCATGGAAGATTTAGAAATATCATTAGCATATTAAAGGCTCTGACAAGTCCCGTAGTTTTTTAAACATTGGAAATTTTTCTGTAATAGACACGCCTTTATGTAGTTTAAAGCATTTGGGGACATTTGGGACACGCAGGCTTCATGTTCCAGCTCAGGAATTGGTTACTCCCCATCCCTTGTCTGATGGGATCTGAGAAGCCTCAGAGCCTACCGGCTACAGCAGCTGCTCACACTTTCCAGCATCCTGTTAGCCAGCGAGGGGAGCACCTTCTTCCTCACGGCTGTTCGCAGGCTGAGGATCTGGCAGCCACACGTGCTCCTGGCGGGGAGCGGAGATGCTCTCTAACACTCAGAGCTATCATTTCACACGTTCTCGTCGTGTACTAGGCATTTTACGCGTTCCATTCTCCCAGAGCTCCACAAGGCAAGAATTTTGTTCGCCTCCCGTGACAGAGGAGGAAACTGAGGTTCAGAGGAATCGAACAGACTCGCCAAAGGTGACCCAGCTGATAAGGGTGGCATCGGCAGGCAGATGCAAACCTGTCCGATGCTAACTGGCTGCAAGCCTTCGAGCACACTGCGTGCTGACAGAGAAGGCAGAAGGAGAATGCTTCATTCTCTTTGTCCCATCCCCGCCACACCAAGGGGGTGGACAGTCGGGGAACCAAACTTTCCAGGCATGTGCCAGGACCTGGAAGTAGTCGGGCATGAGCTAGATGTGCGCGGGGAAGGAAGGTGTCGTGGGAGTCAGAGGATCAACGGTGTGTTGC